GTTTAAACTGTCTGATTTACAAGTTTGCACTTTGCGTTTAATATGACAGGATACATAAAATACATGAGTATTTTGAAACACAGTTGAACCACTTTCATTATTGTAAAAACAGATCGAATCAAAATTAATCTATTTAGAACTGGACAAATTAAAATTGAATCGATTCAGGACTTTGGCAAAAATACCCAGCCCTAATCACAATCAACAAATACGCTGCTATCCTGCTCCAATCAATCCTTCATTAACATGACTCAACATAAGCAGTTTTACTCGGTACATTACCTACTTTCCAATAACTGACTGCAAACAGGAAAGGGCTAATCCTGATGGTAAATAAAAAAATTTTCAACTGGAAAAAAAAAAAAAATCTGATGATGCCTCTGACTAAAAACGAATGGCAATCAAACACTCACTCAGGCTGCACAGGGTCCAGATTACCCTTCGCTAATAGCCTGAGCGCTGCCCCCTGAGGAATGCCAGAACAGGCCTTTACTGACTAGGCGAGAGATTTAGTGCTTCTACACCAAATGATTCCTCTCCTGTTGTGGGGATTTTAACCTGGATCATTTATCAAGAAGCTGAAGAACTCCAAACTCATTAATCTAAGTAAGCTCCCCTTCAACTTTACAAATCAAATATCCTTTTATAACTTTATTAGGGCTGGATTGGATTAATCTTGATTAATCAATTATTGAAATAATCTTCAACTAGTTTAGTAATCCATTAATCATTAACTGTAGAGTAGAGACTTTAAAACATGACTTTAGCTGACAGAGCAACCCACTTAGAGCAGTAATTATATCAAAATTGTAAAGAAATATATAAACATTTTGAATTTCAGAGGTTTTTATCTGTCATTATGCTCTATCCAGAACTCCTCGAGTGGAAAAGCTTTAGTTTCATCTGATTTGATTTCGTATAAAAATATTTCAGGAATCTCAGGCTATCTGATTATGAATCGACTAATCGAAAAATTATTCGACATATAAATCAATTTACAAAAAAATCGTAAGTTACAACCCTAGATTTTATGTTAATTTTTTGTAATCAATTGATGATCATTTCATGCTCCAAAAAATTGAATCTGAACCTAAAAGAATGTAGGCTTGGGGGTAGGGCTGTTGTAAACGAATATTTTAGTAATCGAGTAATCTATCGATTATTCTTACGATTAATCGAGTAATGGGATAAAAACAATTTATAAAATAAACTATTGGCAAATCTGCAATAACACCAGTTAGTCCAGATCAGTCCAATATCTCCTTTTTGAGCATCCCTAACAGTTAAATGTTTGTAGTTTAGAAAGTTTACTTGTAACAGTAGTTTGCTTTAACCTGAAGAAAAGTTATAAGATATTAAATTATATTCAAATAATAAAGTAGCAGGCTCATAAATATGCTTATAAAAATGTCTAAATGTAAAGGTTTGAGTTTGTACAGAGTTCTGCAGCCTTAACTAGTCATGATAAAATGCAAAAATGTTGCTATTTTTATTAAAACGATGCTATTATTTATTCTTGATTGCTTAGGTATAAACAAATATAGAATTACTACAAAAAATATTAATCAAAAATTTCTAATTCATACATAACAGTAGCGAGAAGAAAAGACTGTAACTTTTCAGGATGGAAAGACACCAATAAATAAATGCTTTTCAGCTTATGCCTGTAATCTGTTGCTGCGTATTTTTATTAACAAACTTACATTAAGTCCTGCATAATTTCTCTCAGTTCCACCCTCACATACAATTTACACTACACCCGGTTAAGTAACCGCTATGTTTAGATGTAACGTTAGCAAAATAATGTGCCTCAATTTACATCTATAACATGGCAGATTATCACACAACGTAGTTAGCAAAGAGAACATAAACGTTACCTGTTGGCAACCGTGTACGAGTTGGATGCATGTAGCGGGTGTTTTCTCTTCAGATGCTGCAACATTGATGTCGTGCTGTTGTGGTACGCCAATTCTGCTTTGCAGTGGATGCATTGCGCTGTGTTGTCCTTTCTGTTTAGCCTAAAATGTTCCCAAACTTTGGACATTTTTTGTCGCTTTCGAGGTTCTCCTTCTGAGCTTTCTCCGGTTCCCTCCATAGCTACAAACTTAGCACAAGCGCTCCAGGCGCTAACGGAAGTGGTAGCGTTGTGCAACACAGAAACCCTCCGGCTAGACCAGTGTGCTGCGTATTTAACAGCATTGCTTATTACAATACAATAAATTTAGCGAAGCTTCGAGGCAGATAAATTTCCTCGAGGATTTTTTGTAATCGAGTTACTCGATGAATCGTTTCAGCCCTACTTGGGGGTTACATGTCTAAAATGTGCAAGACAGCTTTGGTCCATTTCCCTGCTCGGTTCTGCAACCATTCATTCTTTAAAATGTGAGACTAAAAACATTTCTCTGGATACAGCAGCCACAGGAAGAACGGAGGCCTGGGTTTCAGGTCAACATGTTCCATGATTGTAGCCGTTTCTGACAATTTATTCAACTCACAAAGACGATTTAGGAAGATGCCTTTAGGCTAAAAGTAAAACTTCTTCTACAATAATAGAAAAAGTCCAGCTGCCTTCTTTGGATTATCTTGACCTTAAAGCCACAGATTCAACATAAAGGAATTATTTGAATCTACCACATTGATTCTGATGGTAAAATGCTGCTAAAGCTTGCTTTGACTTTGCAGATTCTACCGTCACAATCTCTTTCTGGCAGCCTTCACCAATCCTTTACTGATTGCTGCCCATGGAGACCTGACACCTGTCACACTGAGTAGGAATAAAATGACAGAAACATAGTTAGATATATATATATATATATATATATATATATATATATATATATATATATATATATATATATATATATATATATATATATATATCATGGTCTCCCTCATCTTCTTGTTTACCTGATTATCACCTGACAGATTCTAAGCAGGTCAGTGCTAACAGCATACCAGCCACACTCAAACCAGATACATCCCACAGAAACCATGTGTGCCATTAGTGACTTTCACACATGTGGTCTCGGTGCCTGGTTGTCATTAGAGGTCATCGATGTAGCTGAGTGAAGCCCAGGAAGGAGCTTTTTATGTTTATATCGCAGCATGTTTTTTCAAAGATAGGAAGAACACTGTTCAGACAAATTAACTAAATCCAAACGACACGTATCACATTAAAAAATGTTAAAATACATAAAACACATTAGAAAGGTGAAAATAGCTGATGTGAGAAGCTCTGAAATAATAAAAAGAAACCTTGGCAGGAGTTCAAAACAGGATGACTGTCCTGACTAAGTGATCCCCACTGTCAGTCTGGAATCCTGAAGTATGTTTGCCAATCACCATCGAGCAGCAAGCTTTACGACCCGCCTCTTCTCAATAGACCCTCTAAAGGGCTGGTTATACTCCCGCAGCAGCGTGTCGCAGTGAGCTTGACACAAACATTTTTGATTTATTCCTGATATTGAAGCGTGGTCTGCCATATGTTTATTCCACACCACAATGCAAAAGGGGAAAATCAAGAACTAGCTGTGGGTCTAGATACAGCCAAGGCGGTTAGGAAGTGGGGGCAAGTTTGTCCTACAACGGACGGACATGAGGGCGAAAACGAGTGGGGATCCTGATGGAAAAAGGGTCCCAGCGTTCTCGCGCACCTCGCTCTTCTAGCTGGTCCAAATTCACAAGTCGTTTCACAATGTTGGTCCTACAAACAAAACAAGCCGGTAAGGTACCAAACAGGAAATACGTATAGTATAGAGTAGGGATTGAACGGTTTATAAAAACCGTCCGAACCGTTCGGTTCAACTGTCTCGGTTCGGTTCGTGTGTGTTGCGTTCGGTTCATGCGCTGCTCCTTTTTCTCATAGGCGAAGCGTTTACACTCCAGAGCAGAAGGTGGCGGTGCTGCGACCAAAGCCAACCACCAGTGGTAAACAAGAAAAAGAAGAAGCGAAGCAGCTTAGCCGGGTGTAGCAGAAAAAAATCAGTTGTTGTAGAGAATTGTGTCGGACTGGCGAGTGGGAAAGAACAGGAGTAGGAAGACGCACCAGCAGCACTTTATAGGTCTGCTGTATGGGACCACTTTGCATTTAGAGTGACCTACGATGACGGCGGAAAGAAAGTTGTGGATAAAAGTGCAACAGTGTGCAAGCATTGTGCAACACGTTTTGTTTATGCTAACAGCAACATGACCAACATGTCAGACTAACAATCAACATATACCGAACCGAAAACTGTGACCACGAAACTGTGAACCGATCCGTGGATTGTGTGAACCGTTTCACCCCTAGTGTAGAGCGAATGTAGATTTGACCAATCAGAGGCCTCCTGGCTGCAGCACTGTCTGCGGTCACCTACAATTTGGAAGAGGTGCAGCAGTGTCTGCGGAGGGGCGGGGGGAACATTTGCAATCACTGCGACACACACGCAGACGACCTGGTTTGGAAATATAAATCAGCCTGAAGAGGCTGAGCCTCACTGGAAGTGAAGCATTTTGGCAACTTATCCAATCAGAGCTCTACTCTCTCACTGCCTTCTTCAATACACTGAGACTCCAACCTCAGCAGTGATTTCTGAAAAAAGCTAACAGGCACCGTTCTGCTGCTCCAGAGCGGATGAGAGATTGCGTTCAAGAGCAGAGAAACAGCTGTTTGATGCGCAACATACCCATAAAATCAGGACCATTTTAGCGCATATTTAATGCAGTTTACTGACTTAATTTATGAAGTTTGACATAGTATATATACCAATAATGTAACATTACTTAACTAAGAAGGTTTGGCCTCCATAGTATTAAATGAGAAATTGCCAATGCTGCACCGTTATAATCCTACTGGATGAACTTCCATGTTCCACCTGTGGAATCCTTTCACCAGGTGAAATCAAAACCGCATTCCTCCTCCCTTTATTGAATGTTCAAGTCACACAAAAACTTCCACAGCTCCTGTTAAAGGACCAGTTCAGTTCAGCCCTGAAACGGTCTCTTCTGTGGGCTGGACTCACCGGGACAGGCAGAACTCCAGGGTCTTCTTCAGGTGCTCCCTTAAGCTGTCCTGGCTGTTGTCAGGCTGAGAATCACTGCCTGTTGACAGAAAGACACATTAATAAATAAATAATACATAAAAAACAAATAATTTTAGTAGAATAATAAAATAGAAAACAGTACAGAAAATCAAAATTGAAGGAAAGGAACAAGGAATGTGCAAAACAGAAATAAACAGTAAAAATGAAGTGTGGCTAAAATTGGTTTGTTTTTAAATGTCTACAACACTAGAGGACAAGCAAAACATAAAACCCCTGTACTGATCTTATCTGAAATAAGAAGGTTAAGTTCTGATATTTTTTTTAAGGTTTCTGTGAATCCTTCCTGACCTTTAAGACCTTAAAAATACTTAAAGATAAAAGTCTGCCGACAGACTCCTCCTGCTGAGACTAATCAAATTTTAATGCAAAAAATTGTTTTTAAGTGGCCACTTTCCTAAAATGAAAGCCAATAGAGGATGAGCACTGCTAAGATGAAGCAATCTCATTTCAATCATCTGGACTCAAACAACAGCAACTGCTACACAGGTACTTCAGCTCTAATTACTTAACGACTTTTCTGCTGGAGGACAACAGACCACCTCAGCTGAGAAAACAACCACTTGGGTCATTTTACTGCATAATTACGTCTTAAAACCTCACAATGATAAAGAGAAATGCACACACATTCCCAGTGACCTAATCTGAAATGCTGCTGGTATTGATTCAGGCCGATTCATTTCACCAAACGGGCTGCTTCTGTCTGGCTCTGAGTGACACACCTGTTGGACCTTAAAGGCTGTGTAGACATAAGTGTGAGCTCTGAAACCTCACAGAGCCGCTCCTCTCTGACCAGCCCACCTGTGTCCCCTGGCTGCCCAGGCTCGGGGTACTCTGTGTAGGCGGGCTCGGAGCCCTCCAGTGTGATGGTGGCAACGGGGGCCGGCTCTCCTAGCATTACTGGTGCTGGTGGAGGCTCATCTGGGTCAGTTAGCTGAGGCTCCTTGTAAGCTCTGTCCTCACTGGCTTCAAAGCCTGTGGCGATCGACAAGGGCAGGTGGCGTTATTGATAACACAGAGGTAAATACTCTCAGCAGCCATCAAAACCTGCTCTATCGGTGGTCCATCCAAACATGAATATATTCTTGTTAATGTAATTAGCTGTGATACTCCCTCAAAATAAAAAACAAATAATCTGAGACCAAACAATACATGAAAACAAAATAAACAACGTAAAGATGCATCAGAGAATCATTAAGTCAACAAATGTAGAAAATGTCCCTGAATAGGCTCTGATCAGCAGGGAAAAATATTTGTTTGTTTTTAAGTTCTGTTTAATTCAATGTCTCCAAACTTCTAGTATATAAGCAAACAGTCTGAGTTTTTAGATGAAGATTGAGGACATATTGCTTCACGCATTATTAGTGTTTTTCTCAAATGCATCTCTACAGCAAATGTAAACAATGAGAAATAAATGTATGAGTTTAGGATAAAGGAACTGAAAATTTGATGGTTTAAAACTGAGCCAGAGACACTGGTTTTTAAGTGTCAAGAAAACTAATTTGGGTTTTCTGGGGAGGATTTTCCAGTTCAAACAACACTTCGCAACCACAGTAAAATAAAAAGTTAACCTTTTCTTACCTAAAATTCTCGTTTTTCTTTCAAATTAATCTAGATTCACTTCCTTTTTAATGCATACAAGAAGAACAACCTATAAAATACTGAAAGAGCTGCATATATCCCAAGCAGGCAAGACACAAATCGCAGCCACACAGCAGTAAAGCAAGCCAACAGAAAACAAACAGAGTCAACCCTGGCATTAACGTGCCACCCACATCATTTGATTGGCAGGTAATGGCTGTGGAAACTGCAAACTGCAATGTGCTTCCAAACAACATGGTGGTTTTCGCAGGTGATAAACCTGCTATTAACTGCCCTGCCACAGCATTGCAGTCATTTAAAGGTAAACCACCGCTCAAGCTTTTCTAATCCATAGAAGTGAAGCGTTTAAACACCTGCAGAAACTTTACTCTGTAACATGGAAAAGATTACGGAAATGGGTGATTTTAACACAGCCATACAAACACAAGTCAGTTACAGAGCAGACAGAGATTGAACCTCACCTAATGAGCCTACAGGAAACCATGACTTCAGGTTGCTTTATATCATACCAGGATGTGGGAAAACCCCATTTAACTTCATTTTTTTTAAACCAACTCTTTAGTTTCTTCACAAATAAATTGAATACAAGAGCTAATTAGTGATTATAGATTAGACTGTCAAAGGCTGACAGCACAACAATTCGAGTTCAGACATACACAGCTCTTACTCTGCTCTTTTCTAAAGGTTAGGGAGGAAACTAATTCATTCTGACACAAAGAAGCATATTAACTCAGCTGTCATAAGTTTCCTCAATGTAGGAAATGAAGGAGGACAACGAGTCGATCCGTGTTGGACCAGAGCTAATCAATACGTTCTGTCTTTGTTGCATCTGCTGCGGCTGAGCCTGGCAGAGAAAATTACACTCAGCGATTATAATGGTTAATGTTAAGGAAATGATGGCTGGAATATTCATGCATCCTATTAAATTAGGTATAAATGATTAAAGAGCTGTTTTACTCATGACAAATGTGACTCCAGGAGAGGAAGACTGGAAAGTATAAATAACCATAAAGGTGAATGAACTGAGATTGTGGCTTTGAACTTGCTTTTTATATATCAAATCCACGTCACCTCCTAACTTCAAATAAGATGTCAGCACTAGCATTTCAAGATTTAAAAAAAAACTGCCTTTAGTGACAACTCTTTAAATGACTCCAGCTATACCCAAAAATAGCTCTAAGGAATCAGTCTGAATTGACTTTTCTTCAAAATGTCTGCCTGCTTGAGCTCAGATTTAAGATTTTGTCGAGTTTCTCTTGTGGTACCAGCCATAAATTGTTTAGCTTGTTGCACACATGGTTCTGGGGTATTGGCTTATTTCTGTCCATTTGTTTCTCCTACAGGTTAAAACCCAAGAAAACAGATTTGTTAAGGGACTTGTACTTTGATTATTACCCTGAACCTTCGTGGTTTAGCTTCAGGTAAATGTAGAGCAGTTCTCTGTGGTCATTTACCCCATAGAGAGGCACTGGGTGGAACCATGGAAACACTTTTTATAACCAGGAAACATCAATAGCATTTTCTCCCCATCAGAATTCATGTATTTTGTGTTAAACTGTAAAGCATTTTTAACCATCTACTTTCAGCCATTTGTAAAGAAAAGGAGCTAAACTCCATCAGTCAAACCAGTCAAACTCATCGGGCTCCATAAGCAAGAAGACAGTAGGGCTGTTCCTGCAAAACTATCTGAGGTTAAAGAATTGAAAAGTTCTGTACACTTTCAGTGATTGCTGCAATATATTGAATATAGTAGTTTAATAACAAAAATAATGAAAATCCTAGCTTTTTAACTTTCCTGATGGAAGCCAGTTTCCACAATAAACAATCCTACAGTTGTCACCGGATTAGCATCTGATTCAATTAGAAATCATTTACATAATAGACACGTTTATGCCACAGTAGAAAAATAAAAAAAACATTGGAAAAATAAATAAACAAATGGGGTTTTAAGGTCTGTGTATCTTTTAGCATCATGTTTCAGTCATATCCTTTTAAACTCCTCTACAGTTTGCTCAGATTTTCATTTTGCAGCATCTGTGGAAGCAGATGGAGCAAATTTTCCACTTAAGAGGAAGACTTAAGGATTGATGTGCTTTTTTGTTTTGGGATGTTTTCAACTCCTGTTAACTTTCTCCAAACTCAAATTAATTTGTGTTATATTTGTCAAAGGTGCCGTTTAAGAAACATCAGCTACAGTGTTAGGAATAACAAATTTTCTTTTATCAGGAACTCATTTCTTATTAAGTTGTAGGATGAGGAGAAAGACCGGGTGAAGGATTTCTGGCCGTGTCAGCAGGTCTCATTTACACAAACAGCAGTGCAGTCAGAGCGCACACGACACACAGCTCAGGGTAAACACGTCTAAATGGGGGATGAAAGTTCAGGGTAGCATAAAGGAAAAAAGCCTGAACCAAACTGACTGAACCCAAGAGCAGCCAGGTCCAGGATCTGATAAGATCTTAAACTAGTGGTGCCCAAAAATTGGATCAGGTCCTACAAGATCACTAAGAGTAGAACTTAGAGGAATTTCCAGTAAATAAGCAAAGCTTGAAATTTATTGTAAAATAGAACTTGTTTTTTTTTCTTTACAAAAGAATAAAAATAAGGACTGTATTAGTCATATGGCTAAAAATGGTTTAGGCTTTATGATCAAGATGACTCTACAAGTGACTATAAAAACTTGCATTAAGTCATCACTAAACAATCTAGTACAGAGGTCACAGATTAGCGGACCGCGGTCTGGATCCTGACCCACCTGCTGGCTAATCCGTATACAACCCGATTTAAAACATTTATAAATTACTACATGTTGTCTGAGGACAGTGTCTAAACGTCACTTGCGCTGGTTCTCCTGTTACCCCGAAATCCCACACCTTCACCGCTCCGCAACGCTCAAGACGGCCTGCGCAAAACAAAGCCTACAGCCTCCGCTGCTTCTCCGTTATTGCTGCGCTCCGACTTATCCTCAGAGCTCGAGGAGAGCGTGCGGAATATTGTCATTAAATTTGTTGGAGCAAAACATGCAGAAATTAACGCTTAATTTAATATGAAATATAAAAAAAATCCCCATCAGCATACAGCATATATGCAGTTTCTGATGAAGATGAGAAATCTGCTTCCTGGTATTTCGAAGTACCAATAGTTTACATCCAATCTTGTAAATAAATGGTGTTTTTTGAAATATATAAGAATTATGATCCAATTTTTAGTTACTGATCTGTTGATACTATATTTTAATTTGACAAACCGGATCTTCTTGCCGTTCTTTTTCCTGCATGGTGCGATTGGAGTAGCAGATCTTGACCTGGCCGGAGCGGAGTGGAGCCGGAACATTTAGAGTATGTTTGGCTAAACCTGCTGCTGTGATGCAGGATTCTCCACCATGAAAAGATTCAAAAATAAATATCGATCACGAATGAGCACCTTGATATGTGCTTGAGAACTGATTTGTCGCCAATCAAACCCAGGTTTAAAGCCTTGCAGGGCAGCGTAAAGCCCACTTCTCTTATTAAGCCATTAAAAAATAAAATAAAGAAAATAAACGTTCAGTTCAGGTGTTTTATAAAACATGTGAATCAGGAAATTGTCTACATACAAACCTGAAAGATTATGGTTCTCTAGTTCAAAAAACACTTTAGATTTTAAAATGGAGAAATGATCTAGTTTCTTTTATTTAAAAATGTAATTATGGTTTCCTGGATGCATGAAAACCTAATTTTATTTCAGTGTTAAATTCTGTTTTAGGTAACAGATTATAATTAAAAGTGTCTCCGGACCTTTACTGGTTGATGATTTTCTTTATTCGAACCCCGCTGATTTTTAATTGGTTAACCCCTGGTCTAGTAAAACATTAGAAAATATTTTTCTAAAAATACGTCTAGAAACTTTATTCATCAAGTACATCAAACAGCTCTACTATGCTGCTAAATGTCTACAGTAATGATTTCTATCTGTAATATTTAAAAAAAAAACAACCATTTATGATTTGATGGAGCTGACAGAAGGAGAAGAATCTGATCAGGTTTTAGAGTTCCCAAACTCTTTAATTGGTTCTAGAGTTATTATAGGGAGAACAAGTCTTTTACATCAACTTGACAAAGAGTTGACAGTTTAAAACTCAATGACTATTAAAGAAGGAGTACCGAGTAATGTGCCACTCCAGCTAAAAGAGCTGGTAGTAAGAGCAGAAGACATCTGTAAGCGTGTATCCCAAAGGGGCGACTGACCTTCAGGGCCGGGGTCGGCCGAACTATCGCAGCCTTCCTTCCATGGCTGCAGGGCAGCAGTGGTGGTGGTGTCAGCAGTCCCGCTGGTGTCCAGGCTAAACATGTGGTTGGCCCATGCTTTCGCATTGGGGTTGAGGTCTGAAACCTTGGCTGATTCCTGTGGGAACAACACAGTCAGGTCAGAGCAGCCAGCATAAACACTAAACCCTCTGTGTGTTACTTACTATAGCTATGATTGTTTTATGCAAATATGATCATATGAAATAGACTACAATAATAGCTAGAAGCATTCAGGTAAGCTCACATCCTTAACTTTGATTTAGTAAATAAACCATCCAACAATTATGAGGAAATTGCACAAATGCCAAGAGAACCTCAGATCACAGCAACGCTGACTGAAAAATAACCTGATCGGTGTTACAATTAAACCATTTTCATCCAGCTGATTTCGCAAATAAAAGACACTGGGTTGCTGGTCAAAACAGGTCAAACTTAATTTACAATACTGTATAATATTCTAAGCATATAGAAGTAAATACAAAAGGGATATTATTCCTATAAATGTGAGTTTTAAACACATTTGACATGATACTGTGTTTTCCCAGTGAACTCTCCACAGTTCGAAGGGTGAACCTAACAAATCTCAGGGACTTTGTGTTGGAGCCAATGAGCCAGGAAACCACACAGTATCCTGGTGTAACTTATTGCTCACTTGCACAGGATTTTTTTTAAACCCTTTAGTGACACAGTGCAAATAATCAAACAGGGAGAACAGAAGCAACAACCTTTAAGTCAAGATTCAGAGGAAACCTGAACAGACCTTTATGGAGAAAGACTGATGCATAGAGAAACGTTCCCCTGTTGAGAATATGAAACAAATCAGTCTTTTCAATAATATTTTAAACTAACCATATTGCACGTTTGTTTCCTTTAACAAGTGAAACTAAAACAGAAAAGCTCCAACCTATGGGCATAACTGACAGCACCATCTTAAAGCCCATCAGTGGATCAGAGAAGGTTGTGGTTAAAAACAAAAAAGCCTTTATAAAATGGAAAATGTCAAACAGTTGTGTGAAAACACAAAGATTATCATCTGAGGAAGCATAGGTGCATAGGTAATGAAGAGGAGGGATTTCTCCTCATTAAAAAAAATAAATAAATAAAGTTGACAAAGATAATGTTATGTTATGTTTGGAGGAGGAGCCAAGTACACAAAAAAACAGAGGCTGCTATTTGCAAGCATGAAGTAGATCAGTCAAGAAAATGTTTTCTTCCACCAGCAATCCAAATGAAGGTGGATTTTTCTCAGGACTGAGCCAAATAAGAGAAGATGTTCGTTGGCAGCGTATTTAAATAGCAGTTTTTGTAAAGGGTGGCGAATAATAAGCAGGCTGACCTTACTGGGGTGCCAATTTGTTACATCTTCTTTTAAGCTTCTCCTGATTGGATAACCCTCGATATAAATCTTATTGTTTCTTTGCAACGCTATCATTGTTCTGTAACTTTTGGTTCCCTTAATGACCATCTAAATCTCAGCATTTCTGTTTTTAACACTAGTTTCATATTCCTGAATTTTAGGAATATAATGTAATATAAGTACACCGAAAACAAAGCAGAGTAAAGTTAAAATATATTTACAATTTAAGGTTCTGAAGATATGTTGGAAAAACAGAGGTGCACCTTTTCTGAGATAAAGGCAGAAAAGTCAATATGGTTGAATAGAAGTCTCATCAGACTAACATCATCTGACTGGATCAGCTTCAAACGATGGACATTGTTTGTCTGAGCTGCAGCTAGCATCATAGGATTGCTGATCATACTCACAGGAATGAAACAGTAGTTCAGTCTGCATGCCTCGCAGCCAAACAGACCATAACCCAGAGCCGTGGTGAGAGCCAGCGCATCATTTAACTCCTCAGGCACCGAAGGCCAAGAGCTTCCTGTAGTACAGGAAGGTGGTAAAAAGCTCCACTCCACCCAATCCATGATTAAAACTCAAAAATCAAACATCTGCTCCCGGCAGGTCGAGTAAGACTTCAGATCATCCCTGTGTGCTTCCAGGTTTAAGCCGGGCTCCTGCACGGCCGCAGCTCTCCGATTCATTCTCAGGAAATCACAGACACAGCCACGCTCCGTCTGATCCAAGCTGCTCCGTCGATTCAACAAATCTGGTGACAGTACTGAGGCTCTGCTGCCCTGGTGGGCAAGGCTGACGTTGCACAAGCTGAGTGGCTGCCTCCTCCTGTTCAGCATCCGTGTCTGCTTTTGTTTTGTCAGCGTTGCACTGAGTCATTCTCCGGGAAAACAGTGGAGAAGTCCGTGGGGCATTGAGGCGCTCCCCTTGGACACAAGCGGAGCCTTTGCATATACTCGAGCTCAACCCCAGGGTTGTCGTTCCAGCTAAGCCAGTCCTCGAAAGTCTTTTAATGGACTACTCTGTTAACAAGCTGGGAGTAAAATCAAAAACACAGTGAAACCAGTTTTCCTGTTGCAGGACAAACACGTTGAAACAAGAAGCTGATTCTAAGAAACAGAGTAACAGAAAGGGAGACAAGTCTGACTACACGAAAGTATAGTGATGCTTCAAACGCTGCACTGTCAGATCATCCAGGATGAGTCTGACCAGACGGATGCACGCAGCAGACTATGCTAATGTTTCGGCCCAGCTCCGACGCAGAACTCCCACTCCTGTCCGAGCTGGCTGCCATAGAAACCCCCTGCTGACATCACCGGATGTGTTTTTACCGGGCATTGCGTGACCTTTAGAAATTTTAAACGTTCCCGTTCTTAACAGAGGGCGTAAAGGTTGTCTGCTGCCTTGATTGAGAGAGCCTGTGTGTTTTGTAGAGAACAGATGAAGTGACTCAACAAGCACCGTGAGCAGAGAGCAGTTATCAGTGTCATCCGAGGGCAGCTGATATAGCACTGCGTTTATTGGCCCTGTTTTCTAATGGAAGCAAGATTAGCTGCCGTGGACAGAAATGGCAAAGATAAGAGAAACATCTACAAACAGCTGAATTTGAACTAATCTGCTTGTGTGCAAACGTCAGGAAACACCAGAGCTCATTATGAACTGAAAACTGCAGGCTGGGAGGGGGCCACCTTTACATTAGCTGTACTTCCACTCCTTTTCAGGAACAAGAGGCATTCTTTTTTTTACAAACAAAACCTATGGACAAGCAGAATGTCTCTTGGAGAAAAGCTTTCAGTTCAGAAAGAAAAGGGGGGAATAGTTGACCCAAATCAAAGAGGGATGTTAAGGGAATCAGATTGAGGACATGGTAGTGGCAGCATCTTGCTGTGGGACTGTTTTTTTTTTCTACAGGTGCTGCTGAGGCCTTGGAGCAAGTGGTCAAAATGAGAGGCATGTTAAGGTCAATTTCCTAACATCTGCAAGTGACTTAAAAAAATCAATAAAAAGGCCAACATTAAAGGAATAGTACACCCAAAACATGATTACCTTCATTTTCTACTCACCCCCATGCTGAACAACACTCTGGAGTACTTTTTTGATATCTCAAATGCATCTGGAGATCTGGGAGGCTTCTTGCTGTCTGCTGACATTCAAATAATGGAGGTCTATGGTGCCTGAGACAGAAAGGTCCATAAAAGTCCACAAAAAACGTGTCAATATTCCTCCATACTGCTCGTCCAATGTATTCCAAGTGTCCTGAGTGGGTAGCATCCAGAATTTACTCGAAACGAAGTCATTTAGAATGTTTTTAGAGCATAAACAGTAGTGCATAGGATTTCCTGAAAGCGCGCACATGCGCGTTCACGACGCTACGGAAGCCGGCAGACCAAACCAGCACATTCAGCTCGGCAAAGAACTCATGCTCTTCCTCAACACTGAAGTCCTCAGACATTTTTCTTTCGTTGTTTCTTTCTTTGCACAGGTAAACAGCACATTTCTTCTTCTACGCTTGCATTATTGGCAGAGCAGACACTGAATGCGCACTTTCATCTGGTTTGGTCTGCCGGCTTCCGTAGCGTCGTGAACGCGCAGGCGCGCGCTTTCAGGAAATACTATACATTACTGTTTATGCTCTAAAAACATTCTGAATGACTTCGTTTCGAGTAAATTCTGGATGCTACCCACTCAGGACACTTGGAATACATTGGCAGTATGGAGGAATATTGACACGTTTTTTGTGGACTTTTATGGACCTTTCTGTCTCGGGCACCATAGACCTCCATTATTTGAATGTCAGCAGACAGCAAGAAGCCTCCCAGATCTCCAGATGCATCTGAGATATCAAAAAAGTACTCCAGAGTGTTGTTCAGCATGGGGGTGAGTAGAAAATGAAGGCTAATCATGTTTTGGGTGTACTATTCCTTTAAATTCCTGTAAAGACCTTTCTAAACCCTGACCTGAACCCAGGAGAAAATCTCTGGATTTTGCTTTAAGGGTTCTCTGTTCAGAAAGGAATCAAAATACTTTAACCAATCCTGCCAGGAACCCAGGTCATGTATCCAGCCAGAATTATGCCAGAAGCAAATTAAAATGCGTGCAACTGCACCAAAACGTGGTCATTTAAAGACACTGGTAGAATATATTAATACAGGAGAGACTGCATTTAACCCGACTGATGTGCATTAGAAAAATATTCATGCCTTCTTATGCACAGAAAAATTATAAAGTAATCCAGCAATTATTGTTCTACCCACCATCTAAAACAATCGGCTTTGTCAAGCTGGGCTCTACACACAAAAAGCAAAAAAATCTTAATATTTTCCCCTTTTTTGAGTCGCAAAAGTCCAAATCAGATATAGTAGATCAATCCATCAAACAGAATGATTAACAAAGCTATGTGTTTATATGTTAACAAGAACAAACAAACCTATCCAAATATTGCCAAAAAAAAAAGTTTACTGTTTTCCTTAGACCGATGTTGAGGATTAAAGGTTTTCTCTTTAAGAAACCTCTTCAGACAATTTCACAATTTAACATCTTTTAAACTACAGTTAAACTAAAAACCAGAGGACACACTTGACAAAAGAAAAAAAACTCATGCTCCATTTTTTGACCAACTGTCTTCCCTCTTTTTGTCTGATCTAACTTATAACGCCTTTGACTTAAACACGCAGGAGCTATTAGTAGGTCACCGTCAATTACCCTATGAGTTTCTAACACGCAAGTCCACAGTATATGTTGTC